ATACAGCTCTTCCAAGCAGGAGCTGTTTTCTCCTTCTTGGCCTCATGTCCACCAGACCTGTAGATGGGATAAGAGCCTCATGGCTCCTAACTGCCTCTTTTAAACCATTCTGTCTGCCTCTTCCCTAAACCCCTGGCTCTGAAGCTTACACAGTCACACTGTAGCACCTGCTTCCCTTCTTGCTGCCATCTCCACCGACTCCCAAGTCACTCCTGCTCACTGTCATTTTAGCTCCAGGCTAACTGCCACCATATCCACCATGTCATCACTCTTGGTGATTTCCAAATTGACCACTCTGGCCTTGACCTCTTCTCCTCTAGTGAGCTTGTCCTCCCCCCAACCTTTCCCTCCCATGGTCATGCTTAGCCTTGTCCTGGGGACACAATGGGAACTGTGGTAGCCCCAGAGGACAGAGCTCAGTAGGGGAGAAAGCCCCATCCCCCACACAGTGAGCGCCCCCAAACCACAGCCCCTATAGAATCTCAGTTGCATGTACCTCACTTTCTGCCCATCACCTAGTACCTCTCCAGCTCACTCTCTCTAAAGTTGTTGCTCTGACAGTCTTTCAGCCCCAACAATCCATTAAGTCGATCACCTTTTCATGTTCCTCACCCCATCATGGCCACGCAACCCTCACCACCTGATCTCTTTCCCTTAGAACGCCCCAGGGGTCACGCTTCCATCAGCTTCTCTTCTCTCTCCATCTTACTCCCTTGATGATGTGCCCATTTCCATTGAATTAAAAATTGGCGACTCCGACATGTATCCTTCCAGTTTGGATTTCTTCCTTGGACTCCACACTCAGATGTCCAACTGCATCTAGTTGACATTTCTACTGTGATGTTGTAGACACACATTAACAAATACATGTAACACATTGCCACGGATTTGGTGGTTTAACCAACAGAAATTTTATTCTCTCAAAGCTGTGGGAATAGGAAGTCCAAAATGAAGGTGTCTGCAGGGACTCCCTCCCTCCCAAGGCTTTAGGGGACAATCTGTCCTGTGCTTCTCCCAGCTTCTGGTGGCTGGTGGCGGTCCTCGGTTTGTGGACACACCACGCTAGTCTCTGCCTCCATCTTCACAGCGCCTTCTCTGGGTCAGTTCTCTCTCTGCCTCCCTCTTCTAAGGATACATGTCACTACATTTAGGGCTCACCCCAGTAAGCCAGGATACTTTCCCTATCTAAGGATCCTTAATTGTACCTGCAAAGACCATTGATCCAAATAAGGTGATATTTGCAGGTTTCAGGGATTAAGATTTGTTGTCTTTGGAGGAGGCATTTTTCAGCCTACCACAAGACATTTCACACTTAGCACATAGTAGGTGCTCAAACACATTTATTGAATGAAGGTTGGAGTGTCCACAGCAGGGTGATAAGGGCTAGCATTGGGTATACTTGTCAGGGAAAAATAAAATTAGACCAAGTGTCCTAAGACACTTTCAGAGGCTCTTCAGAAGCTATTATGGCTGGGATCTTGAGGACTTGATGAATTTTCTTTTTAACTTTTGTAACAAAAGTTTAAATCTTCACAAAAATAGAGGTTACAAGAAACCCCCATTTATTTATCACCTAACCTTAACAACCAACAATACATAAAACAGCCCTGTTTTACTTATTGCCCCACTATCTTTTTTTTTCTGGAGTATTTTAAAACAAATTTCAATATTATGCCATTTCACCCTCATACCCTTAAGTAGGTGTCTCTTCAAAAAAAATAGAAAAAAAAAAGAGAACATTTTTTTACATCATCATACCTAACAAAATCAACAAGAAGTCCCTTATATATTCTAGTAGCCAGTCCATATCCATATTCCTTCTTTGGTTTAAGAAAAATGTGACTTAAAAAATTGTTGCTTGTTTAAATCAGGATCCAAATAAGTTCCCATCGTTTGGTTCTCTCTCTCTCTCACATGCACACACATATACATTTTTTATTTTTTGGCCAAGACTCTTCTGAGATTATAATTTATTTATCCAAAATCCTTTTTTTTTTTTTGGAAGTACAACATGAGAACAGAAAAGTGCATGTGACTGTACAGTTCTATGACTTATCACAAAAAGAACAAGCCACATAACCACCCCCAGGTCTATAAATAGAATCTTACTGGTACTCCCAAACTCCCTTGTGCCCCTGTCTTCGGTGTGTTTTTTTGTGTACACTCTTCTAACCTTGCTTTCTTCACTTCGTAGTATATCCTGGGGGATCACTCCAAACAGTTTATAGCGATCTTATTTTTCTTTTATCTACATAGTAGCCCGTTGTGTGGATAACATGTCATTTATTCAACCAGTCCCCGATTGATGGGCAATTGAGTTGTTTCTAGTCTTTTTTTGTCACAAAGAGTGCACAATGAACAGCCTTGAGCTTATATCCTCCACTGCCACCGGATATTTCGGTTAGATTCCTAGTAGTGAGATTGCTGGATCAAAAGATGAATGCGTTTATAATTTTGCCAGACACTGCCAAATTTCTCTGCATTGCACTTACGTGTTCTGCATTCCCACTGGTGACATACGAAAATGTTCTTTTCCTCATAGCCTTGTCAACAAATTAAATTGTTAAGTTTTTGTAACTAGGCAAACTTACAAAATAGGCACATTGGATACGTGAGTAGTAATATCTCAGGGTAGTTTCATTTGCTTTTCTCTTCATATGGGTGGAATTGAGCATTCCTTGTGTTTTTGGGGCCATTTGTATTTCCTTTTCTATGAACTATTCTGATCTTTTGCCTATTTTTCTATTAAATTTCTCCTTTTTCTTCTTTATTTTTGGAACCTCTTAAATCTTTTTCTGGATGAGAAATTGATCCTAGGTGAGTCTTTTTTTTTAAATTAATTTAATATTTTTGTATCTTTAATTTATTTTCTCTCTTATCAAGATGGCCAGATTATAAAGATGCACCTAGGTGAGTCTAAACAGCAAAATTCAATAGAAAACACTGGCCTTGGTGAAAGGCACACCTGGATTAAAATCTAGGCTCCATCATATACAAACTCTCTGCCCTTGAGCAAGCTATTTAATCTCACTGAGCCTATTTCTTTATTTTTATGCCTATTTCACAGAGCTGTTGTGAAGCTCAGAAATACTGCATGCGAAGAACTTGACATATTGTATACATTCAACATGTTTAGATTTCTTTTTCTGTCAATTGCCTGTTTATATCCTCAACCCATTTTTTTTTCTAATTGGGTGGCTGTCTTTTTCTTATTGATTTGAAGGAGCTCTTTGCATATTGTAGATATCAATCTTTTGTTAGGTTTGTGGCAAATCTTTCCTCTGAGTTTGTTTTTGGCCATTGATTTATTCGGCAGATATGTGCTATATACTGTGCCAGGTGCTAGGAATAAAGTGGCAAGCGAAGCAGATACAGTCTCTGCCATTGGGTTGCTTCTAATTGGACAGAAAGTCAAACAAAAATAATTACAATATGTGTTAGATGCTAGGAAGGAAGTTAATAAGAGAAGGGGATCCACTTTGGGTGGGGTGGTCATGAAAGGCTTAAGGTAGTTGACATTTAAGTTGACATTGAAGGAGGAGAAGAAGCCAGTCATGTGATGAGTGGGAGGACCAGAAAACTTTGTCATTTCCAATAAATTGAAAGATCAGCTTCCCAAATCATAACTGGCAGGGAGAACAGTGACAGGAAATGAGTCAGGGGAGGTTGGCAGGGGCCTTACAGGACAAGGAGAAGGAATTGGATTTTTATTATAAGAAAAATGTATAGCTGATGATCGTGTTTATAATCTTAAGGAAGATTCCTTGGGAGCCCGTGAGAATGGATTACAGGAGGGGAAGAGCAGATTGTAGGATATTTATTGTGCTGTCAACGTGGGTGAGGATGATGAGGATGACGGCTTGTAGCAGGTGGTTGCAGTGGGTGTGATAAGAAAGAAAGGTGATTTCGGGTATGGTTTGAAACAATTCAACATGATTTGTGGATGAACTGAGTGGAGGACAAGGGGAAGGGAGGAATCAAGAATAATCCCCCATTTTCTGGCTGCCGACCTTGCCAAGGGCTGGTAGGGCTATTTAGGGAGGTATGAGGACCAGCATGGGATGGGAATGGGTTTAAAAGGTAACCAAGACTTCAGTTTTGACTTGATTGGATTAATGCATTAACTCCTCCCTCCATTTTATAAGTACTGTCATCAATTCTACTTTAATTAATTTTTTTTATTTTTTGAGACAGAGTCTCACTGTGTTGCCCAGGCTAGAGTGGCATGGCATCAGCCTAGCTCACAGCAACCTCCAACTCCTGGGCTCAAGCAATCCTCCTGCCTCAGCCTCCCACTAGCTGGAATGGCTAATTTTTTTCTATATATTTTTAGTTGGCCAATCAATTTCTTGCTATTTTTAGTAGAGACAGGGTCTCGCTCTTGCCCAGGCTGGTTTCGAACTCCTGACCTTGAGCAATCCTTCCGCCTTGGCCTCCCAGAGTGCTGGGTAATTACAGGCATGAGCCACCGTGCCCAGCCTATTTTTTTTTTTTTGAGACAGAGTCTCACTCTGTTGCCCAGGCTAGAGTGCTGTGGCGTCAGCCTAGCTCACAGCAACCTCAAACTCCTGGGCTCAAGCGATCCTCCTGCCTCAACCTCCTGAGTAGCTGGGACTACAGGCATGTGCCACCATGCCCAGCTAAATTAATTCTACTTTAAAGATGAGGAAACTGAGCCAGAGAGAAATCAACTTGCTAGGGTTATACATGATAAATCCAGAACTATTGATCGATCTCTCCATTTCCACTCCTTCTCTCCATCCAATGATTTATCTTCGCATCCATCTCCTCTTCTAAGCAGTCATTTTGTTCTCTTCTTATTTCCCCACCCAATTTTTTCCCTATCCACCCATCCATCACTTCATCTATTCATGCAGTCATCCATCCATTCTCTCACTTCCCAATAAACATTCATCACGTGCCACATGCCCCAGGATCTGACCCTTGCTGTGCAGGGAGGAAAGTCAGGGATGAGGAAGCATGAGACAGACACATCCGCATGCAGCTTTGCTGAAGGTATTTATTCAATGCTCTCCCATTTGGCCTCAGGAGCTCAGGTAGGGTGTGCCCCTAGCCTGCTCTTCCCCTCTCAAATATCGCAACCTCCGGGGGGTCAGGTCCTGAAGTCTTCATTCCCGGTGGATCACTGATCAGTTGTAACTGCAAGAGACAGACACTTGGCACCTCCTCTTGAAAACTAAGCACCCACCCTGACTGCTCCATCTCGTGAGGACCCAGCGGCCCCTTCCCCAGGAAGCCTGGTTTCCAGACTCTGTCTCTCACCATGGGGAGAAGTCCTGCGCTCGCCACCTGTCCATCCCTGTCTTCCCTTGGGAGTCAGCCCCATCATTGGTCTGGTCCCCGTCGAAGTTCCCGCAGGCCCCACACAGCAGCCCAGCGTGGTCATCGCTGACCATCACGTCCAGCTTCCCGTTGGTCCTAAGCCACACCTGGACCCCTTTCTTCTGTTGGACTAGCATGGAGCCGTCAGGTGTCTGACTCACGGACACAGACGTTAACACCTCTGCTGGGAGCTCCACTTGGAGACCGTTCACCTGGTGGAGGTGGGAAAACACAGAGGTGAGGCCAGAGCCACAGAACACCTGGGGTGTTACCAGGATGGAGACCCCGAGTTAATAAATTCAAGGAGCTCAATCAAGGAGGCAAGTGCTGAAAGAGATGACGACCTGGGCGGATGCACTACATGGAGAGATGGGCAGCTAAGATAGCTAAGATAGGTGGACCATCCTGGAGCATTCTGTAAAACAGATAGCTGAAGAATTGGTTGGATGGATTGAAGGATGGAGAGTAGATGGATCCACACAACATCCCAAAGTCCAGGGGAAGAAGCACTTTATGTCAGACAGATAAACAAACAAACAATCCGGTTTCCTGAGTGAGTTTGGCTTCCAGTCTGGGCAAATGAAGAACTTTCCTGGGGTTAAGGGGACTCTTTCGCCTTCATTGCTTCTTCGTAGGGAGCTGTGCGGAAGACTTGGCTGTGCTTTTTGCTCCTCAAGAGCTCAGCCACGGCCGGGCGCGGTGGCTCACGCCTGTAAACCTAGCACTCCGGGAGGCCGAGGTGGGAGGATCGCTCGAGGTCAGGGGTCAGAGACCAGCCTGAGCAAGAGCAAGACCCCATCTCTACCAAAAATAGAAAGAAATTAATTGGCCAACTAAAAATATATACAAAAACCTAGCCAGGCATGGTGGCGCATGCCTGTAGTCCCAGCTACTCGGATTCGGTAGGCTGAGGCAGAAGGATTGCTCGAGCCTAGGAATTTGAGGTTGCTGTGAGCTAGGCTGATGCCACAGCACTCTAGCCAGGGCAACAGAGTGAGACTTTGTCTCAAAAAAAAAAAAAAAAAAAAAAAAAAAAAGAGTTCAGCCAGAACAGAGGAACTAAGTTTGAAATATTAAAACAAATACAAATCCAGAAACCAAACTCCAGAGACCCAGATAAAGAAAACAGCAAGAAAGAAAGGCAGGCAGCAATGTCGGGACGCTGCAATAGGAAGAACAAAGTCCCAGGGAAGACATCCACCGTCCCCCAAGCCCAAGCTTACCCACACGTTCTTGTTTGGGGACACTGTCACTATCCCATCCTTGAAGAAGATGTGGACCTGGCCCACAGCCTGGACTTTGCCATGGCAGGGCTGGACGTCGGCAACCACACGGTACCAGGGGATGGTCTTCTCTAGTCCTGGGCAGTAGGAGGAGAGCTCATAGATGCCAGGAGGGTAGGTGCCGCTGTGGGCTCCGTCAAACGTGGTCAGGTTGGCATCCACGGAGAGGGAACAGAGAGCGCGGGAGGCCCAGCAGTCCCGGACTCCAGCCTGGATCTCGCAGACACGGCCTTCCGGGCAGCCAGCTGCCTGGCACGTCAGGCCGGAGCTCGGGCAACAGGAGCAGCGCTCGCTGCAGTCCGGGGTCAGCAAGGAGGAGTTGGCCTGTGCACAGAAAGGGGCCAGGGTATGGCGGTGTGACGAATTGCAAACATGTCCCCAAGTCCTTCAACCCTCTGTACCCGGGCAGAGTGACTTTGCAGCAGACTCCCGTTAAGAAGTGGAGTTTATTTCCTCTCCCCATGAATCTGGCTCAATCGTACCCGATCATCAGACACTTATGGCACAAGGATGACGATTAAGCATTTTATAGGTGGAGAAATGAGGTCGGGAGGGAAATGTGGCAGGCCAAATGGTGGTCCTTGTCCCCGAAACCAGCGAATATTACCTTATATGCAAAAAGGGCATTAGCAGGTGTGATTAAATGAAGGATCTTGAGATGGAAAATTTTATCATGGATTAGCTGGGTGGGCTCCAAAGGCAAATGCGTGTATCTTTACAAGAGGGGGCAGAGGGAGATTTCATGACACACACAGAGGAAGAGCTTGGAGTGATGTGGCCACAACCAAGGAATGTCTGCGGCAACCAGAAGCTGGGAGAGGCAAGGGTCAGGGTCTGGAGGGAGCGCCACCCTGTCAACACCTTGACTTCAGCTGACTTCTGGCCTCCAGGAGCATGGAGAACAAATTTCTCTTGTTTTAAGCTACCAAGTCTGGGGGGATGTGTTCGAGCAGCCACAGGAAACTGACACAGGGAGGTTGCCTGCTTCAAGTCCCGCAGCCAGGACGTGGGGGCAGCTCCTCCGTCCCTGTCGTCGAGGAGGTCAGCGTGGAAGCTCCACCCTCCCTACCCACCTCCAGTCCCTGCTCACCGGCAAGTATCGGCCATCGTGGGTGCAGCCGCAGTCCTGGACGGGGATGCAGGCGCCCTGGGAGAACAGGAAGCGGTCGTCGCACTCGCAGCCCTCAAAGCAGCGGGTGGTGCAGCCGGTGAGGCCGGAGAGAGCGGCGCAGGAGCCCTGGCAGGTGCGCGTGCAGATGGAGTAGTGGCTGTGGGCGGGGCACTGGAGCGCTGCAGAGGGAGGAGGCAGGGCAGGGTCACCTCTCCACCGGGCTCCGAGTAGCTAACGGGACCTACTGCCCACCAAGCCCTAGGCTGGGTGGTGCTGAGGTCACGGTGATGAGACAGCCTCAGAGCTCACGTCCAGGGAGGTAGACAGTACCAGTGAACACACTGCACCGAGGGGGTGTAGACAGAGGGGTCGGGTGGGATGGGGTGCAAGGGCAAAGGAGAGGACAGGGGCTGTGAGGACCCAGGGGACACAGGGCCCTGGGCTCTGGCTAAGCAACTGATGGATGGTGTGGCTTTCCTGAGATGGGCACCGGGGTATAGGAAAGGGGCACCAGGTTCAGGTGAAATGCTGATTTCAGTTGGGAACACAGCAGGTGTGGACGGTGGCCCTGGGTGTAGGTCCTGCCCTGAGGAGGCTGAAGGAGACATAGCTCTGCCCTGGGGCATGGGCAGCCACTGCCTTGTCCTGGAGAATCCGAGGGGCAGTGTCGCTGCCCTGGGGATTTGAAGGAGAGGTACAGTCCTGGTTTGGGGGCCCTAGTGGGCTGTGGTCTTGTCCTGGGGAGGGGAGGTCTAGGCGAGCCCCAGACTCAGGCTTGATGGCGTGCACATCCCGAACCAGCCCACTGTCCCTTTGAGGTCACTGCAGAAAGAGTGCAGGACAGAGCCCCGGGGAAGAAGGGAATCTGAGGCTGGAGGAGGCAGGGCCCTGGTAAGGAGTCTGAGAAGGGGCAGAGGGTAGGAGGGAAAAGGGGAGCAGGGGGGCAGGGAGGGCCTGCTCTGAGGTGGAGACAGAAGGAAGGGGTCAGGAGACGCCCCCGAGCCTGGTCTGGAGTCCTCCGAGGGACCCAGGGACACTCACGGCAGAAGCTGTCTGTCCTCCAGGGCTTCACGGTGGCGCCGGCGGCCTGACAGGCTGCCGTGTAGGCCGCCAGGCTGCGGCAGAGGAAGGCCTCGTCACCCTTTTGGGCACACATGTCGTACACGCACTGGCGGAAGTACTCGGAGGGACTCAGGAAGGCATGGCAGGAGGCGAAGGGGCCCTGGGGGTCGCGGAGCCGCCCGCAGGACTCCTTGCTCTCGTAGGGTGCCGTCTCCTCCGCCAAGCACACGGGGCAGCCCTGCGGCCCGCAGCCCTCGGCACAGCCCTGGGGGGAGCCTGGCGCCCGCCACGCAGCTCCGAAGGTGTCCACGCTGGGGGCTGCCGTGCCACCGGGCAGGACAAAGTCATCGCTCCAGTTGCCGTTGAAATTCCCACAGAGGCCACAGAGTCGCCCACGGAAAGGGCTGGGGATGGACATGAGGATGTGGGCATCGCCGTCAAAGAGAAGCCGCAGGTTCTTGGTGGTCTGCAGAACCACGTTGCGGCCCTCGGCAGTCACCCGCACGTGGCCCACGGCCACAGGTAAGGCCACAGACTCGCCGTCTATGGTGACCTGGGAGGAAGGGTCAGGTAGGTAGGTCAGGGAGTCACAGAGCCACAGGTGAGCCTGTCCCCCCACACCCCCAGGGCAGAACTGTGTCTCCCCTTCCCTCCTCTTCCCTCCCAAACTCCCAGGGTGGGACCCTTCCCCTCCCAAACCATCCAAAGGTAGCACTGTGTCCCCTTCAGAACCCCTGGGGTGGGACGATGTCCTTCTCAGACCTTACTGGGTGGGGTCATGTCTCCTCAGAACCCCCAGGACAGGGCCATGTCCACTCACCTGTGGTCCCCGAGCCAGGGCCACAACCTGACCAGCCACTGTGACCAGCAGGCGCTGGGGGTCCCCAGCTGCGTTCTTCTCAAGCACGATGGTGAAGTCCTCGTCCCCAGGCTTCGGGTGGCAGACCTTGGCCAAGACGTAGGAGCAGGAGCCATGCAGGTCATAGACACGGCCGTCAAGCGTGATGTAGTGGATGCCCCCGCTGGCCAGGCAGCGGCCACAGCCGGTGGGGTGACAGGCCTGGACGCCGTTGTCCAGCCGGCATTCCTCGTAGGGCCCGCAGGCCGCGCCCTCCTGGCAGCTGACCTGGCCATCCGCCTTGCACTCGCAGCGCCGCTCGCACTCAGGGCCCGGGTAGAAGGCCTCGCCCAGCTGGTAGTAGCGGCCATCGTGCAGGCAGCCGCACTGGCCCACGGGCACGCAGGTGTCGCCGCTGAGCACATAGCCAGCGTCGCAAACGCAGCCCTCACGGCAGGCCGGCTCGCAGCCCTCGGGGGCGGAGAGGCTGGGGCAGCTCACGGGGCAGGAGTTACCGCAGAGCTCGTAGTGGCTGTGGGCAGGACACTGTAGGGCTGTGGGGACAAGGGAGGGGGGAGATGAGCCAGGTGACATGGGGGGAGGGACAAGGTAGCGAAGAATCAGGCAGGCTTGGGGGGCAGGGGACGGTCCTGAGAGAGAACTGCGGTCAGCTTGGGCGTCACTGTGGGTGGGCATCTGGTCCAGCACATCGGACTGGGGTTCGGCGTGGGAGCAGGGGGCGGGGGATATGACAGGTCCCTCTGCCAGGTTGTGTGTTAACCTGAACGAGTATTTCCAAACATCAAGTGACTCTGTCTGGGTGGACGTGATCGTGTATATCTGACCGCGACATACAGGATTGGAACCCACTGTGGGCATCTCGGGGTGTGCATGGGTGTGACTGCGCATGGGGCCAGCTGTGTCTCGGGGCATCAATCTGCCTGAGCTGTGCGTGTCTACCTGGAGCACCAGTGTCCCTCTGTCTCAGGGTGTGACAGGATAAATCTAACCGAGGACACTTGCCTGAAGGGACTGTCCAGGACTCTAACTGTGAGCCTGCAGTTCTGCCTGGGGCTGTGTCAGAGTCCAGATTTCTGGGTGCATCTGACCAGTTTGTTTCAGTGTATAATCTAGCCAGATGCCACTGAAGGTATGCGACCAGTTCTATGTGGGTGCATTTCAGCGTGTGAAACAGTCGAGGGGGATCTGACCAGGTATAACTCACCAGGTCTGTCTGACCAGGGGTACATTGCTGTGTGACTTGGACTGGGCCAGCCACCGGGGTCTACATCACTAGGAGATCTGAGCACACGGCTCAGGAATCCCTGAGGGCGCACTGGGCCCAGGATTTCTGAGCAGGTGTCTGTAACTGAGTCTCCCTCCTGCCCTGAGTGTGTGAAAGCCGCGGTGTTCCTTTGACAGGGGAAGGAGGGCGGTCCCTGACCCCCCCTGTAGGAAGAGAAGGCGCTTTCTTGTCTTAGAGTCCTGGGAAGGGCGGAGAAAGACCCCACTAGGTGGACCACACAGGGATCAGTACTCACGACAGAAGTCTGGCCGCCTCCACTCGTCGAGCTGGGCCCCAGCAGCCTGACAGGCTGCTACATAGGCGGCCACGGCTGGGCAGAGGCCTCCCGGGTGACCCTGAGCTTGGCAGGCGTCCAGCAAGCAGGCCTGGAAGTACTTCTCCGGCGGCACGAGGCAGTGGCAGGGCGCCAGCGGGCCGTCGAGGGCAGAGATCACGCCGCAGGCATCTGGGCCGCCAAAGGGCTCCTGCTGCTCGGGCGTGCACGGCTGCGGGCACGGCCCGGGCACGCACTCCCCGCAGCCCGGGGCGCCGCCCACCTGCCAGCCGCCGGGCTTCCCGCCCACCGCCGCCAGGTCGTCCGCGGGGTCCTTGTTGTAGTTCCCGCACAGGCCACAGAGGGCGCCCGCGTACGCCGCCGGCACGCGCAGGCGCACGGAGCTGCTCCCGTCAAAAGCCAGCGAGAGCCCGAAGGGCGTGGTGACCACCACGTCGGCGCCGCTCAGGTACGCGCGAAGGCCCGAGTCCAGCTGGAAGGGCAGCGCCACGAGCTCGCCGTCCACCTGCAGGCGGGGGTGAGAGGCGCAAATCCCGGTTTGAATCCTGTCTCCACCGCCTGTGGCACTCTGAGCAGCTGGCACGTGCTCCTGTCTGGCCCACAGACCCCCTCACCTGTAGCCGCCGGGGCCAGGCGGCACTCAGGGTCAGGCAGTGGCTGTAGATATGCAGGGTGACGCTGCGGGTGTAGCTGACAGCCTGGCTGCCCCGATGCTCGTTGACTACAGTGACGTTGAAGTTCTCAGCCTTCGAGGCGGACGCATTGCAGGGTGCGCTCAGCAGGTACTCGCAGGTGCCTTGGAAGTCGAATCGGTGCCCATCCAGGGTGATGTAATGGGGGTCGCCCCAGGCCTGGCACTCAGCCGTGCTGACGGGCTGGCAGCCGTGCTGGCCAGAGGGCAGGAGGGCACACTCTTCACCCGGTCCGCAGCTGGAAGGCTTGCAAACCAGCGAGCCACCCCCAGGCCCGCAGTGACACCACTGGGAGCAGGTGTCATCAGCCCAAAACTCGCTGTTCGCCTCGTAGTAGGTGCCGTTGGCCCAGCAGCCACAGCCGCCTTGAAGGGACACGCAGCGGTCGGCACTCAACACGAAGCCTGGGTCGCACTGGCAGCCCTCGGTGCAGGGGCCCTCACAGGGGGCCGAGGTCGCGGGGGGTGCAGGGGACGGGCAGCTGGCTCGGCAGGGTGGGCCACAGAGCTCATAGTGGCTGTTCTCCGGGCAGGTCATCTCTGTGGGAGGATGGGGGAGCGGGGAGGAGAAAACCAGAAAGAATAGTGTCAGGAGTGTCCGAGGACAGGGCGGGAGGGGACAGAGACAGAGAGGGACACAGAGAAAGAAACAAGAGACACAGAGAGACCCAAACAGAAACCGAGGGAGATGCAGGGAGAAAGAATGAGGAACAGAGACAGAGACAATCAAACGAGACGCAGAGAGAAGCGCCAAGTGACAGAAAGACAGACACAGAGAGAAATGAACAAAAAGACTCCAGAGGGACTGGAGTGAAACCAAACCAGCCCCACAGAGACAGGACCCGGTCCCCCCAGCCCCTGCCCTGCTGCCCCAACACTCACCACAGCCGGCCTGCGTCCGCCAGTCCTCGATGACAATCCCAGCGGCCTGGCAGGCGGCAGCATAGGAAGCCAGTGCCTGGCAAAGTATGTCGTGGGCCCCGCCGCCCAGGCAGACATCCAGAACACAGCCCTTGAAGAAGCTGTCAGGCGGCACTTGGGCATGGCAGGCGGCGAAGGGGCCCCCTGCGCCAGGGGCCAGGGGTCCACAGAAGCCAGGGCCCTTGAGCTCCTCCTGCCGGTCCTCGGGGCACGTTGGGCAGGACCCCTGACATTGGTCCCAGCACAGTGGGTCCCAGCCTGGGACTCGCCAGCTGCCACCCCAGATGGGTATCGAAGGAGCCCGTGTGCCGTTGGGGAAGACCTGGTCGTTAGTGGGGTCGCGGTCCATGTTCCCGCAGAGCCCACACACCGCGCTGTGGTAGCTGCTGGGCAGGGTCACCTCCACCCGCCAGTTCCAGTCGTAGCTGACTTGCAGCCCGAAGTCAGTCGCCAGCACCGCCTTGGACGCGCCCTGGGTCACTGAAAGCCGCCCCCCGGCCACGGAGACAGGCAGCGCAGTCAGCACCCCATTCACCTGCCGGATGGAGGGAGGGAGGGAGGGAGGCAAAGGTGACTTACTGGAGGTGAGTGGGCCCGGCTCCAGCCCCCGCCTCCCTCCCTTCCTACCAAGGCCTTTGCATTGTTATTTGACAAACATTGTGGACATCTGTCCTAGTCCAGGCCCCAGGGAATAAAACCTCACTCTGCTCTTTCTAGATCTCTCTGCTGACCTCTGTCTCCCCCCTTTCTGTCTCTGTCTCTGTGTCCCTCCCTGTCTCTTCACCTAGGTCTGTCTCTCTATCTCTGCATCTTCCCTTCTTTCTCTCTCAAGTTTCTCTCTGTCTCTGTCTCTCTTCTCTTCCTCCCTCCCTCCTCATTCTCTGTGCATCTCTGGGTGTCTGGACATCTCTTCCTTGCACTCGCCGCCAGGTATTCAGAGCCTGCGCTGTGCTGAAATCCTACATTAAAGCCCTTAGCAGAGGGTCAGGCTCCTTTAATTCCCAGTAAAAAGGTGCTCTTTTTGCTGTAATTAGTTGTTTTTGTTGTCATTTTGTTTCAGGCTGGGGTGAAGACAGAACTTTGAGCTGCCAACTGTGCCCTCCAGGACTCCTCTGGTCCTACCAGGGGGCTCATCCTGCCAGACGTACCCGAACTTTGCCAGTCTCGTCCTTGTGGATGGAGATGTTGGTGCCAAGGGTAGATACGGTGACGAGCCTCACGTAGGACACAGCAGGGTTGCCCCGGTTCTCGTTCTTGGTGGTGACAGTGAAGGGTGTCAGGCCCTGGGCGCTGACCCCCAGGCAGGCAGTTGTTGCCAGCACATAGTTACAGGTGCCCTGGAAGTCAAAGCTCTGGCCATCGAAGGAGTTGTAGTGCGGGTCGCCCCACAGCCAGCACGTGACCTCATAGTTGGGCACGCACACGCCCTGGCCACCCTGCTCTTTGCATGTCTCCTGTGGCCGGCATGTCACACCGTCGCACGGGTCTGGGGACAGAGAAGAGAAGATCTTGAGGGGCTGCCCACTGTAAGGACAGCTGCTCCCCTACCTCTGCCCCAATCTGTGCCAGGGATACTGGCTCTGGGGCTTAGACCTGACTTGGCCCTACAGCCAAGACCCAGGCTCTCTGGTCCCTATGTATGAGACCCAGGCCCTGCAGTTTTCTGTTTGACATGAAGTCTCCAGGGCTCCCTTGCTTGAGATCTGAGCCCCAGCGGACCCAGGTTGAGACCTGAGCCCCAGGGGCCCCTGTGTCTGAGATGCCAGCCCTGAAGCCATTCATGTCTGAGACTCCAGCCCCAGGGTTCTGTGTTCAAGACCTGAGCCCCAGGGTCCCCCATGCCTGAGATCCCAGCCACCTGCAGGTCTCCACATCTGAGAACCACGTCCTGGAGGTCTCTGTGCCCAAGACTAGGGTCCTGGGGGACCTTCTGATGAGAACCCAGTGCCAGGGGTCCCAACATTTGAGATCTAACCCTGGGGTCCTAAATCTAAGTCACATGGCCTGGGGACCCCTCTGTGCAAGACTATCCCTGAGTGTTGCTACGTTTGAGACACTAGCCTCATTCCTGAGGCCCTGCCCTGGAGGGCTTCTGTGTACAAGACCCTCTCCCCAGGGTCACTACATCTGTGACCCCAGCTTTTGGAACCCCTGTGTGCAAGATGCCAGCCTGCAAACTTCCTCCTCTCTCTTCCTGTGCCAGTTATGCATTTTTTGCCTCTCAGTTTCAAAGCCACCCACGGCGTTAGGCTTCGTCAGTAGAGGGCGATAGAGAGTCACTGCAGGAGGGAGGGGCTCCCGGTCCCGCTTCCCGCCTGCTCTGCCCTTCCAGCTCCTGCCTGGGTGTGGGGCCACACCCAGCGAGGCGCACCTGCCACAGCTGGCTTCACAGGGACTGGTTTCTTCTTGCCAGCTCCGGCCTGCACAGACCTCTCTCCCACCCAATGGGCTGCAGCTGCACCCTCTCCAAAGAGATCTGGATCGGCCTTAGTGTGGGAGGGTGGGGGGCCCCTTCCGAATTTCTCCATCCTTGCATGCTCTAATTTAGCCCTAGAGGGAGGGGCTAGTCCCTATATCTGTTACCCTTGTATTCTTTAGTGCTCTCTTTACACTTTAGGAGTCAATTCCCTATTGCAAGTACATAACTTTTTATGTTAAACTTTCCCTATTCAAACTTCCTGTCTCTTGCTGGGTCCCTGACCAAGATGTGCCCCCATCCCTGGGAGTCCCTGTTATCCCCGAGGGTCTCAGCCCCTGCCCCGCAGTGTTGGAGATCCGATTCTCTTACCCTCGGGGGAGAGGGGGTTCCCCACCCTTTGCCCTAAGAAACCAGCCCTGGGGGTGGCTCTGTGTCCCAGATTAAGTCTGGGGTCCCACGTCTGAGATTGTACCCCTGGAAATCCTGATCCCCCACTTGAGGAGGGTCCCGACATCCAAGGTCTCGCCTCATTGGGGTCTCTGTGCCTGAGACCTCAGAACTCCGCCCCTGGGGAGTCCAGTGTGTCCCATGCCTCCTCCCGCATACCTGCGGTCAGCAAACTGTGGCAGCTCCGGCTGCCTGTTTTTGTGTTGCAAAGTTTTATAAACTTTTATTTCTTCACCTAAATAGTCTGGCTGCTTTCATGCCACCATTGCAGAGTTAAGTAGTTGTCACTGAGACCATATCGCTGCAAGTTTAAGTATTTGCCACCTAGCCCTTTAAAGAAAAAGTGTGCCTGTCCCTGCCTATCCTGAGGGTCTCTGACATCTGTCCTGGGAAGCCTAGCCATGAGGGTCCCCACAGTGTCCCCTGCCTCCCAGAGTGGACGGTCTCTGCCCCCGGCCCTGAGAGACCCAGCCCAGAGGTCCCCAGCCCCGAGGCCTCAATCCTTAGCCCTGTGCACCTCCCGCCGTGAACATCCAGTCATGCCGCCCTCAGCTCCAGAGTCCCTGTCCTCTGTCACTAGTCCCATCAGCCACACCCTTGCCCAGCACCTTTGGTGACACAGCTCAGGACGCCTCCGGAGGGCTGGCACACCTGCCCCGGCTTGCAGCTGTGTTCCTGGCACATCACGCCTTGACCTGCGTGGCACGTGCACTGCAGCTGGCAGTCGTCAGTGAGGACCGTCTTGTCTGGCTGTGGGGACAGAGGGCGCAGCCATCAGGGACCCCCCCGTGGGAGCCGGCTCCCCAGTGTTCCGGGCACAGAGGGGTCTGGCGGACACGAAAGGACCATCTCTCAGCAGGGTAAACCCTTGTCTGTGAAACTGAGGCATGGCATGGCTTTGGGGCCCGATTCATTCATTCATTCATTCATTCATTCATTCATTCACTCATTCATTCCAAAATGCTCACTAAATGTCTGCTGTATAAGTAACTATGAGACATAGTAATTAAGAGCAGATTGTCTCAGTTCGAAGCCTCTTTCTGCTCTTTCCAAACTGTTTAATTCTGGGCAGATCACTTAACCTCTTTATGCCTCAGTTTCCTCATCTGTAAATTGATATTAACAATAGTAGCACCTACCTATGAAAGTATAACTGATTTAACAGTACGTGTAAAGCGCGGATGACATGAAAAAGGATTTCCTTTAAATAATCCAGATTAGAGATGAAACAAGATTGGGAAAATGTTGATTATTTTTGAAGCTAAGTGGTGGGTACGTACCTGGAGATTCAGTCCACTGTTCCCTCAACTTCTGCATGTTTGAAATTTTCATAATAAAAAAATGTATATATATATGGAATACATATATATATATAAAATACATACATAAAACACTTAAAATAGTAATAGGCACATAGTAAGCACCATGTATGTATTAGCTGTTATTACTCTTATTATTTGTGTGAGGAGAACAACGGAGGGGTCCCTGCCCTGGGCGAGCTCGCAGCGCTGGGTGGGAGGTGGGCTTTAGACAAACACACACTCGAGTCAAAGAGAAAGGACTGACTGTGTAGAGTGGGGGAGGGAAGCAGAGGGAGTTGGCAGCTGGCATGACAGAGACAAAGTCTCATTGTTGTGATCAGGAAGGCCACCTTTGCCCAGACCTGGGATGATAGAAAGCCCAAACTTGACCTGGGGAGCCAAGGGCTGGGGGCGTTTAAAGCTTCAGAGCCCATGGTCCTACTTAGAAAGGTCATTACCAAAGTGGAGGCCATGTGGGGGGTGGCCCAGAGGGAGCAAAATCAGGGGCTGGGAGGGATCTAGGTGGGCGAGGACCACTGGACCAAGATGAGGCCATGGCGAGGGGGCAGGGGGCAGGGGAGAGACTCGGGAGGCTGACACGGGACAGGCTGATGGGCCATGGGAGGGGTCCAAGATGAGGCCTCAGGTTCTGCCGGGATTTCCTGGGTTCCTACCTCATAGTAGACACCATTGTGGTAGCAGCCGCAGCTCTGGATGGACACACAGGCTTTGCCGTCGTAGAGGAAGCCGGGATCGCACTGGCAGCCCTCGGCACACCCATTCGGGCACTTCTGGGGGGCACTGAGGGCAGAGCAGCCCAGGGAGCAGGTGTCCGCACAGAGCTCGTAGTGGCTGTTCGGGGGGCACTCCATCGCTGCAAGCAGGGGTGCCGATCAGAGCCCCAGGAGGGCGGGGCTGCGGGCCCAGGGTCTACCCTTCTCGTGCCCCGATGTCCCCACGCCCTGCCCCTTAGTGTCCCCCTCACTCACGACAGAAAGATTCGGTCCTCCAGGGCTCCACCTGGCCGCCGGCGGCCTGGCAGGCGCTCACGTAGGCGTGCACGTTGTCGCAGAGAATGCTCAGGTTCCCGCCGGCCACGCAGAGGTCGAAGACACAGTCCTGGAAGGGACCGTCGGGGCTGACCAGTGGGTGGCAGGAGGCCAGCGGCCCCGCGGCGTTGGTGAGGATCCCGCAGAACTGCTCCTTCTGGTACTTGTCCTCCAGCTCGGGAGGGCACGAGGTTTCTGGGCTGCAGCCGTCGCTGCCCGGCTTGCACGTGGGCGGTGGCAGGCAGGGCGAGCCGGGCACGGCCTCCTCCCAGGAGTTGCCAAACTCGGTGGGGTTTCCTGCCTGCGAGCCGTCGGGCTTCCGGAAGTCATCCTTGGGGTCGCCGTTGTAGTCCCCGCACAGACCACACATCTGCTGGTAGTAGTTGCCCGGGATGGTGACCCGCACGTAGTACGTGAGGTCATAGGCCACACGCAGGCCGAAGTGGGTCTCGATCACAACGTCGGAGCCGTGCTTGTAGGCACGGATCTGGCCTTCAGCTAGCTCCACGGGCAGGTTCATGTCCACACCGTTCACCTGGGAGGAGGGGGGTGGCATGCTTCAGAAGGCGCACTTTGAGGCATCGGTCCCTAGTTCCAGCCCCTGCCTGACACTGAAGATCTATGTGACCTCACCTCTCTGGGCCTCAGTTTCCATATGTGGAAAATGGGTATAATGACAGGCTCCTGTCGTGGATTGAACGGTGGTCCCCAAAAGATATATCCACCTGGAATCTCACTACGTGATCTTATTTGGAATAAGCATCTTTGCAAATGTAATTAGGATAATGAGCTTGAGAAGAGATCACCCCAGACTAGGGGGGGCCCTGCATCCAATGACAAGTGCTCTTGCAAGAGTGGGAAGAGGGCAGAGAGACACACAGGGCAGAAGGCAACGTGAGGACAAAGGCAGGGGCTGGACTGCTGCTGCCACAAGCCAGGGAACATCTGCAGCCACCAGAGCTGGGTCCTCCCCTGGTCCCCTTGGCAGGGGTGTGGCCCTGAGGCACCTTGGTTTTGGCCTTCTGGCATCCAGAACTGCGAGAAAGTACATTTCTGTTGTCTGCAGCCACACGCTTGGGATAATTGGTTACGGAAGCCACAGGAAGCCAGCACAGGTCCCCATGGGGTGACAACTTGTGACATGAGGACCCGTGGTTTTAGCTAAAGGCCATCAGGGCACCAACAAAGCCTTGTAAATCCACCCCTGATCAACTTGCTTGTCCGTCCTTCCTTATTGCAAACACTGTGGGCGCTGGATTCTTTTGGATGTGTGAAAAGTTAGAGGAGAAGGTGGGAGAAAGACTCACTCCGGGCTGAGTCTCCTAAAATCATAATCAGCCGCCACACTGCCCAAGCAGGGCCAGGCGGTGGTGAAGGGCAAGTGACTTCCTCTCTGTGCCTCAGTTTCCTGTCTGTAAAGCAGGGGATACTAATAATTTCCACCTCATAAGGAAGGTGGGGAATTCAGTGACATGCAAATAACATGAACACCAACAACTCCTCTATATTCAGAGCCAACTCTATGTCAGGAGCTGTAGCAGGAACATGGGCTACATTAGGCTACGTGTATTGAACACGCGTATTAAATCATGCCACCCATGCGCAGTGTGCAGTGAGCGCCTGGTAAAGTCAGTTGTTCATCGGTAGGCTTGTCACCACCGCCACCGGAGCAGCGGCCGCGTGCCCGCATTTCAGCGGGATCTCAGGGCAAGCCCCTCTAGTGTCACAGAAATGCCAGTCTCCTCTGAGACCGAATCTTCTCTGTTAGAAAAGCCCCGCAGAGCAGCACAAGGGTTCAAATCCTGCCTTTGCTGGGGGCTTTGGGTCGGTGCTGGGACCTCCCCCTCTCTAGAATCAAGCAAATGACAGTGCCACCAGCTACTGTCGTGAGCGTAGAATGGCACCGGGGACATGGAGTGCTTAGCCGCTTACGAGGTCTGGGGGCAGCCATAGCAAAACGGTAGCTGCTGTTACTCTTATTAACGGGGTGACAGTATCACCCACGATTGTCCTCTGTCCTTGAACTCTCCCCCCGCTCTAACTGCACTACATCCTGCTGATGGGTAGGAGGCCAGGGAGGGGGCTAGGGCAGGGACCAGGGGTGAAGCGGGCAGAGGGTGGGGACAAAGGGAGGAGGGCGTGGGAGAGACATTCGGTGGGGACAGTCAGTGCACCCAGGGGCAGAGAGATGTGAGACGGAGGGACAGAGGGGAGAAACGAAGCCATACGGGAGCAGGTCCCAGGTTCCTGAGGCCTCCCACCCCCTTGGCTTCCCACTCTGGCTGTGACCAGTGCCTTCTCTCCCCAGGGACCACTCCAGGCTCTGGGGACCCTGCTCCTGGGCCGGGCACTGCCTGTGCCCCACCCACCGGTCACCGCCACCCCAGGGCCCTCTGCACTCACCGTGACCTTCTGCTGACCCTGCTCCAGGCGCAGGGTGAAGTTAGCCACCTGGACCGTGATCACCCTGGTCACGCTGACTTTCCCGTTGCCCCAGGCCACGTTTTCCTGCAGGACGGCGAACTGGTGCAGGCCAGGCCGGGTCCCGCAGGTCCGAGCCAGCGTGTACACGCACATGCCCATGAAGTCGAAGCGGCGGCCATCGAAGGTGGTGTAATGGGGGTCTCCCGACGCCTGGCAGGTGACGGAGCCCACAGCCACGCAGCCCAGGATGCCGCCGGATGGCTGGCAGGCCTCGTGGGGGCCGCAGCCGGAAGGCTCACAGGACACCAGTCCACCCTCCTGGCAGTGGCAAAGGGCATCGCACCCGGGGCCCGGGTAGAAGGTCTGGCCCGGCGGGTAGTAGGTGCCCTGGTGCACGCAGCCACAGGCGGCCAGGGGCACGCAGGACTCACCGCTGAGCGCAAAGCCGTCGTCGCACACGCAGCCCTCGTAGTCTTTGGAGCCGCAGCCCCCGGACACTGGAAGGTCTCCGCAGGACAGCGGGCAGCCGTGGGTAGACGGCTCGTAGTGGCTGTGGGGAGGGCAGCTCATCGCTGCAGGGAGAGAGCCATCGAGATCAGGACTGCCTGCTCCCAGGGGGACACGGTTGACCCCCCACCCGACAACACATACGTGTGCACACACGTGCTCATGCACACTCACATATAAGTGGTCCAGTTGCAAGGGGTCCCTGTGTTCAGTTGGGCCTGGGGAACACACTATATCACGGTTAACCAGATCCTGATAATTAAGATTATTTTCCACTTTAACTGTGGTTTGGAGTTATCTATTATGTCTTTAATGACCTTATTCCAGCTGGTTAGAGGATGTTGGTATGTGGCACATATTTTAAACACACATATGCGTGTGTGTGATCTCCACAGTGTATTTGTGAACGTGGTACTTTTAGCTTCTGCCTTCTAGAGTAGTAATTAAAATATCTAGCCAGGCCGGGCGTGGTGGCTCATGCCTGTAATCCTAGCCTCTGGGAGGCCAAGGCGGGCAGATCATTCAAGATCAGGAGTTTGAAACCAGCCTGAGCAAGAGTGAGACCCCGTCTCTACTAAAAATAGAAAGAAATTAATTGGACAACAAAAATATATAGAAAAAATTAGCCAGGCATGGTGGTGCAGGCCTGTAGTCCCAGCTACTGGGGAGGCTGAGGCAGGAGGATTACTTGAGCCCAGGAGTTTGAGGTTGCTGTGAGCCAGGCTGAGGCCATGGCATTCTAGCCTGGGCAACAAAGTGAGACTCTGTCTCAAAAAATAATAAAATAAAATAAAATAAAATATCTAGCCGGTGTTATAAAGAGGAACAAAACAAAACAAAACCTTCCCGCTCCACTCCCCAAACTCTAGCCACTCCAGTCTATCAAAACACAAAAGAAAAAGACTAAAACTGAACCAAATCAAGCCTCTATCTGTGCTGTCCAATATGGTAGCCACTAGCCACTTGTGGCCATTTAAAGGTAAGTTAATTAAAATGAAATCAAATGGAGGATTTAGTTCCTCGGTCACGGCATGTGGTCATGTTTCTTAAAAGTCGTTTTCTGTTACTGAATAACAGGCGCTTACTGAAGTAGTTATGGGAGGACTCATGTGTCTAGAATTTGCTTTAAAATATTCCACCATAAAAGGGAGGAGTGGAGTGGAAGGTAGAGGAGCTCAGGATGGTAAAATGTCAGTAACTGTCAATGACTGTGCTGGGAACAGGCCTCCCTCTGCGTCTCTAAGCCCTCATGACCCAGGCTTCTAGAGCTTCCAAGGGGTGCAAGGACAACAGTAGTTTTAAGGAAATAAGAGATCCTCAATTTCCACAGAGGCCCCAGAGCATGATAATAAACACGACAAACTCAGCAGCCAGCCTGCTCTAATCACTCCACTTGCTGTGTGACCTCGGGCCAGTTACTTAACATCTCTGTGGATCAGTTTCCCCATCTTGCAAAATGGGACTAGGAATGCTCCTGCCTCCCAGGGTGGTTGTGAGGATTCCATGACAAACCCTCAGACCAGGACCTGCCCAGTGGGAAGCGTGACACCCGAGCGCTAGCTGTCGTTTGGTGTGTCCTTTCTGAGCAAAGTAGGCCAGACGGGGACCAAGAAGAACTGGGGAGGGGACAGGCTCCTTCTAAAGGTAGCACTGCTGCTCGCCTCCAAATGACAGCTGCCACGTGGAAATCAGAACTGGGGCCACCACATGTGCCTGGTCATTGAACAGATATTGACCGCATGCCTACCATCTGTGACTTCTGATTGTCATGATTCCAGGCATGAAACTGAGCCTTTCTGAACCTCAGTTTCCTCATCTGACGAATGGGTACAACCACAGTCCCTACCCTACCTCATAGGGCTGTCATGAGGATTAAATACATTAATGATGTTTACACGTTAATGAACACACATAAGGCCGAGCCCCCCGGCTGCCACTCTCGGTACTCACGGCAAAGTTTCTCACTCCTCCAGGGGTGAACGACGGCCCCGGCGGCCTGGCACGCGGCAGCGTATGCGGCCAGAGCGTCGCACAGTGGCTGAGACTGGCCTGGCAGCAGGCAGCGGTCGTAGACGCAATCGCGCAGAGCGCCCTGGGGGTCCAGTGTCTTGTGGCACTCCCGGAAGGGCCCCTTGGGGTCAGCTAGGATCCCACACTCAGTCTTGCTCTGCAGCTGCTGGGCCACCAGGGAGTCCAGCTGGGGACAGTCCCCTGGCTCAGGGGCTCCACAGCCGGGCCGCGTCTCCTCCTGCCAGCTGTTGCCGAAGGCCAGTGCGTCGGCAGCTTGGCCCCCACCCCGCAGAGCGAAGTCGTCGCTGGGGTCCCCGTTGAAGTTCCCACAGAGCCCACCCAGGGCCTTAGCGTAGCTGCTGGGCACCCTGGCAGTCACTAGGCTGTTCCAGTCGAAAGTGACAGTCACGTCGAAGTCCGTGCGCACGACAGCATTGTTGCCCTGCCGGAACGCCTGCACCTGCCTGTCCGCGGTGCTGAAGGGCAGGTGCTTGAGGACGCCGTCCACCTGGGCAGAGACGCAGGAGGGCCAAGTGGTCAGGGTGCTCGTGGCTCTGCGGCCCGCCCCTCCCTCCAGCTACTCTGACCCCCTTGCTACTCTCTTGAACACATCATGCTCAGCCCCACCTCAGGGCCTTTGCACTTGCCACGCCCGCCTTCACCTGGCCACTCCCACCTCATGTTTTAGGTGTCAGCTTTGATCCAAACCACTTACGATGGCCTCAAAGGCCCTAAATGATCCAAGCCCCTCCTATTCTCCCAGTAACACCCCACTCCCCATCCCTGCAACTCCAGCCACGTGGGTGCTCTGAACTCACCACGCTCAGCCCAGCCCCAGGGCCTTTGCACCTGCCATACCCACTGCTTGCAACACCCCCACCCTCTTCCCCTGCCCTATTGCCTGGCTGCCTACCCTGCGTCCTTTACTTCTCAGCTTAAAATCGAACCTCTCTACCCAGAAGGCCCTACTTTTCTGACCTCATGTCCTATCCATGGCTCTATTCTGTTGCCCCGACTTTATTCTCTCCAGGGCATCCTCGCTGCCCTCCATGCTGCTCCCCTGTGCTCCCCAAGCTCAGTCCAACCTCAGTCTTCGCACCTGCTGTTCCCTCTGCCTAGGAAACAGCACTCTCCACCTGGTGGTCTCCTCCTCATCCTGCAGGTCTCAGCTAAAGTCAAAAGGTAGCCGGTCCCTGCCTCGTCTCCCACCTCGCTCTCCCCCTTGGTCCCTCCACTCCAGCCCCCCAGTCTCCTTGCTGTTCCCAACACCTCAGGCTTATTCTTGCCCCAGGACCTTTGCACATGCTGTTCCTTTTTCCTGGAACACTCTGCCAGCCACTTCTCTCCCTATCTGCTCCATCTCTTCCTTCAGGAGAGGCACGCGAGTAGAACGGTCAAGAGTATGGACTTTGGAGCCAGATGGCCTGGCCTCAAGCCTGCTCTGCTACTCACTAGCTTTGTGACTTTGAGTAGGTGACTGGGCCTCTCTGTGCTTTGGTTTCCTCGCCTAATATGAGCTACTTCCCGGGGGTGTCATGGAGACTAAATGAGTCAAGCCTTTAGACACCGGAGTAACTTAATACATATTGGTTATCATTATTCAAGCCTCAGCTTAATAGTCATTTCGGAGAGGTGGGAGCATAAGATTAATAATCATGTTCTCTGTTTATCTAGAACCTTCTCTGTGCCAAATGCCAGGCTTCATGGGCAGAATTTCCTGCACTGTAAAGTGGTGCAAGGATTACAAGTTAGGATGTGCGAGGGGTTAGTGCAGTGACCGGCACATGGAAAGTTCTCTTGGTCTTCCATTTCCGATCCAGCCCTCCCTCCCCAGGGCCTGGGCCACTGCCCAAAACTGCTCAATAACACTTACTGGCCATTGCTGTGAATTGCTCCAAAACCCCTCTTCTCCATTTTTATTTTATTGTATTTAACGAAAATCAGTGGTTCTTGGCTCTGTGTGGGGGCCCCTCTGAGAACCCTTTGCTCAGGAACCCCTGGCCACGTGGGCTCACCCGTGAGCCCACCGCCTCCCCCACCCTGGTCTAGCACCCCCCAAGCACCTGACATTTCACATGCCGTCTGACATGTCACCTTGCTCTCTGAAAGTTCACTGTCCCCCAGAAAATGCACAGATCTGCAATCCCAAGGGCTCATAACAATAAAAATAACAGCAGCCAACATCTACTGAACATTTGCTCACACCAAAGCCTCTTTCAAATGCCCCACGGCATTAGCTCAGCACGTCCCACGACCACTCTGTGAAGTGCTTCCCACCCAGGGGGCCGCCTCTTATTATTCCCTCTGACAAAAGACAACATTGAAGCTGCCAGACGATGTCACAGGGCAAAGACAGCAGCACCGCCGGCGTGGGGGCCTGCGCCTTAACCCCTGGCCACAAGATCTTCTAACGGACGCTCAGCTCGGCCCCAGCCAGGATCCCGGCCGCTGCTCTTCAGAGGGGGTTTCTCGCCCTTCCCCCGAGCCCTGGGCACAGCGACACTCACCAGGACTTGGCCCGGGTACTCGCGGCGCACGGCCACCGTCACCCCGCCGGCCGCCACCTGCACGGCACGCGTGTAGCTCACGGTCTGGGAGCCGCGGTGCTCGTTCTCCACCAGCACCCGGAACGTGGGCAGCGCCGCGTCCTGGCCCAGGGAGCCCACCAGCAGGTACGTGCAGGTGCCCATGAAGTCGAAGCGCCGGCCGTCGAAGCTCAAGTAATGCGGGTCCCCGGACGCCTGGCAGCTCGCGAAGTTGTCGGGGTAGCAACCCAGGAGGCCGTTCTGGACGCTGCAGCGCTGGCCGGCCGGGCAGCCCTGCGTGTCGCGGCAGCTCATTTGGTGGGTGTCGCCGTCGCAGGTGCAGCGCCGCCGGCACAGCTCGTTCTCCCACACCTCCTGGCCCGGCGCGAGCAGGTGGCCCTGGAAGACGCAGCCGCAGGACGAGGCCAGCACGCACTGGTCGCCGCTGGCCACGAAGCCCGGGAGACACACGCAGCCCTCGACGCACGGGCGCCCGGAGCAGTTGGACGGCGCTGCCTCCGCGTTGCAGGAGGCCGGGCAGGCGGGGCCGCACAGCTCGTAGCGGCTGTTGGCCGGGCAGGACAGGGCTGCGGGGGGACGGGAGACGGGAGAGGGCGGGTCAGGCCAGCACTGCAGGGCCCTCGAGGGGCGTCCCGTGGGGAAGGGCGCCCAGGACTTCCCTCCCCAAATCCTGCTCCTCCCACAGAGCTGGCCAGCTCAGCTAGTGGCACTTGCATCCTTCTGGCGCTCAGGCCCTGAACGTAAGGGATGCAGTTACCCCCTCTCCACCCCCATTCACTAAACAAACAATCTGTCCGTAAGTCCTGCAAGCTCCATGTTCAAAATCTACCCAGAATCCACCTCCTGATCCTACACACTGCAGGAGCCTCCTGCCTGGTCCTCCCCCTGCTCCCGCCCTGCCCCCAGTCTGTCCCTCACGTCAGCCAGAGGGACCTGTGAAACCTGGGTCACATCAGGTCCTTCCCCCTCCCAGAGCCCTCCCATGGCTCCATCTCACTTGGGCAAAAGCCCGAGTCTTGCTTGTGGCCCATGAGGCCCTGCCCCATCGGCCCCCATCAGCTCTCTGCCCTCATCTCCTCTCACCCCCCCTGCGGCTCCCTCTGCCCCCGCCCCAGGCCCCCCCTCCTCCCCTGTCCTCACACTCTGACCTCCGGGCCTTTGCACTGGCTGCTCCCCTTCTTAGCTCTCCCCTTCTTAGTTCCGTGATCATGAGCAAATGACTTCAGTCTCCCTGTGACTCAATTTCCCCATCAGTAAAATAGGCTAATATAGCACAGACCTCACAAGGCTGTTCTGAGGATTAACTGAGTGATTCTGCTCAGAAATGCTGCATGAACATCACTGTTAGTATTTAGCATACACTGTTGTCTGACCCTGGTCTCGGATCCAATGTTACCTACTTGGAAAGGCCTTCTCTGACCACCTCTAAATTAGCTTCCCAGGCACTTTCATTGCATGCACTTTATTTCTTTGGGTCTCTGAGAAGACATTTCATAGTTTACCTGCCCACTGTCTGTCTCCCTGTCCGCCCCCTAGGATATAAATTCTGTGGGGACAGGGACCTGGTTTGTCTCAAGCGCTGCTGAGTCTTCAGCACCAAGGACAGGGCCCAGCGCCCGGCAGATGCTCAGGAAATACAGCAGAAATGAATGAGTGGATGGATGGACTCACTCGTCCCCCGTTTGTGCCAGGCACCAGGGAACTCAGGGTAGGGGGCTTACTGGGCATCGGGGACACAGCAGCGACCAAGACAAACCCCAAATGAGCTCCTTACTCTTGCATATTTACTCCCCCTCCTGAGTCCCTGTCTCCAGCCCTGGGCCTGAGCCTGGTTGCTTCCTCCTCCCTCCCCCATCCTTTTTGCTTCCTGAACTTTCTCCAAGAGCCTCACAAGGGCAGGAACAAGTCTGTGTGGGTCCCCACTGTGTCCTCAACATCACCAGCGTGGCATGGGGCCCAGTGGGGGTTCGAGGAATGCTTGCTGAGTGGACGGTTAAGTGGATGGACATCTGGCTAAAGAGCTTGAACTTTGACCAGCAGGCAGCAGGGTGTCATGGGAGAGTTACGAGCAAAGGGAGTGATGTTGCCATTTCTTGGCTACTTCCAGCCCCTTCTACAGGTTTCAAGTCAGACATCCCTTCCTCTAGAAAACTCTCCCGGACCCTCTCTTCCCCAGGCTGGGTCAGGAACCTTCTCTGGTCTGCCATAGCCCCCTTGAACTTTCTCCATCCTGCCCCGACCCCCTTGCCCTGTCCCCCCATCCTGTCCCAACTTCTCTGCCTGTACCCCTCTCCTGCCCCAAGCCCTCTGCCTGTGCCCCCATCCCAGCCCTGCCCCATCCAGACTGTCACTGTTTATTGATATGTCTGTCCCAACCTTAGGCTCGCTGCGGGCACAGCCTGGCTGTCTTGGCCAGCACCAAGCCGAGCCACGAGTGCTCAGATATTGAGCAGACGCAAGGGGTCCTCTGCCCCTCACCACGTGTGCCCAGCCCCAACCCAGGGCATCACTCACGGCAGTTTGCCGGTGACCTCCAGTCCCCGACAGAGACGCCGAGCTCCACGCAGGCCTGGGCGTAGGCACCGAGGCTGCGGCACAGGCTGAGCCGCTCCCCGCCGGTCACGCACAGGTCGTAGACGCACTCCTGCAGGAAGGGCTTGGGGTCCAGGGTGGCGTGGCAGACGGCGAAGGGGCCATCAAGCCGGGTCAGCATGCCGCAGAGTTTGTCACCCTCGTAGTGCTGGGCCTGGCCTGGGGTGCAGGAGGGACAGTTGTTCTGGCAGCCGTCGTCACACAAGTAGTCCCCGTCATCCAGTTTCCAGCTACTGGCAAACTCCATGGCGTTGGGAGCCTGCTCCCAGTCGGGTGTGAAGAAGTCGTCGCCGGGGTCGCCATTGTAGTTGCCGCACAGCCCGCACACCTGGTCTTGGAAGTCCTCGGGCAGGGTCAGGGCCAGCTGGCAGTCCCAGTTGTAGGTGACCACCAGCCCGAAGTCCAGCTCCACCACGCCCTGTGTCCCGCTCTGGTACACACGCAGGCGGCCGTTGCTCAGGGAGACGGGCAAGCGTGAGCGCTGGCTGTCGATCTGCAGAGTGGGTGGGAAGGGGGCGGTCAGGCCCCTGTGTGGTCTGCCCTCCGGCCCTCACCCCTCCCTCGCGCTCCCTGCTCCGGCTGCACTGGGCCTCCTCCCTTCTGCCACCGCCACCATCCGAGCTCCTGCGGTGCCCACGGCCGAAACGGTTTCCCCCAGATGTGAACATGGCCCACTCCCATACCTCCTATAAAATATTTGCTCAAAGGTCCCTGATGCAATGAGGCCGTCCCTGACCACCCTATTTTTAAATGGCAACCCCTCCTTACTCCCTACTCGCCTCCCCTGCTTTACTTTTTCTCCCCGTGCAGCTTCTAGCTTTCTAAAATATAATTGGCAAGTGAATCCTGTTTATCATCTGTGTGACTCCACCAGAATGTCAGCTCCACCAAGAAACGGGTTTTTGTTGGCTTTGATCACTGCTTTATCTCCAGCGCCTGGAACAGTGCCTGGTAGACTCACGGGCCCTCAATAAATGAGTGAAGTCATTGCTGCATTGAATAAACACCCACTGGGCACTCAGTCTGCACCTGGCCCTGGGCTGGAAGATCCTGGGGATACATTGGTGACCAGGAGAGCCCCAGACCCCTAACCCCATGGCGCTCCAGGCTGGGAGAGACAGGCCCATCAGCAGACAGAGGCAGCTCAGAGAGCTCAGGGCTGAGATGGGAGAAGCACAGGCTGGGTGGGGGAGGTGGCACAGGTGGAGGGGTCAGGGCTGGGTTAATGGGCTAAGGGGAGACAGGTGGCTGGGAGAGCCTAGAAAAGGGGCCAGACCCAATCTTACTGCTTAGGGAAGGCTTCCCAGAGGAAGGGACAGCTGAGTTGATCCTTGAAGGACAGTGAGAGACAGCCAGGAAACCTGGGAGGGGAAGCGTGTTCCTGTGCAAATGTCCTGAGTATAGAGAAATCCTGGCCCATCTGTCTGGCTTGGTATTATGGACTGAAGGTTTGTGCCTCCCCCCACAAACATATGTTAAGATCCAACCCCCCCCCCCAATGTGATGGTGTTGGGAGGTGGCACCTTTGGGAGATGATTAGGTCATGCATTTGGCGCCCTCATGCATGGGACTATGGTCCTTATAACAGTGGCCCCAGAGAGCTCTCTTGCCCTCTTTCCACCGTGTGAGGACGCAAGGAGAAGTTGGTGGTCTGCAACGTGGAAGAGCGCCCTCCCTCGAGCCTGCCCATGTTGGCACCCTGATCTTGGACTTCTAGTCTCCAGAACCGTGAGAGAGAAAGTTCTGTCGTTTATAAGCCACTCAGGATGTGGTACTTTGTCATAGGAGCCTGAACTGAGAACCAGGACATAAGGAGCGTGTCTCCCTGTACTCTGGGAAACTCTTTCTCACTTTTTCCTCGCGCGTTCTCTGAGCCCTGCCAGGGCTGAGATGTGGAGGTGGGGAAAGTCTTAGCCAAGAGGATGGGAGATGGGATGTGAAAAAAGGAGCAACAGCCGGAGAGGAAGGCATGGAGGGAAGACGGAGCGTCCACTCACCCAGGTGCTCAGCAGAGCCTCTCTGAGTCCTGCCGTATGTCCTGCTCTGAGCCAGGCAGTGCTGGGGGCACTGCAGTGACAGAGACAGCCTGCAGCCCCCATGCGCAAGGCTCTCGGTCCAGGACGGCTGTTCACACCTGCCTGTCTCTTAAGACCAGCGATCTCTGCGCTTGTGCTCAGTCTGTCTAGAGCTCAAGAACACCGAGTTTCCTCCAGCTGGTTAGTCACCTCACAGATCTAACTGCTCACCCACCAAACGAGGGAGGTGAAAGAATATTCACTGCAATATTGTTTGTAATAGTGCGCAATGTGGCCATCGCCCGGGCACCGGTTAAATGAACTAGAAACATCCATCCGATGAAGAACTGTGCAGTTGTAAGAAAGAATCTTCCTTAAAGAAGCCCTAGGTGAATACTCCAGAAATCAATCAAATAGTTATCGGTGGGGTGTGGGGGGGGGAGGGGAGCAGATGAAGACAGGAGTGGAAACCAGACCTTTCATAATATGCCCTTTTTATTCTGAGCTACGTGAATGCTTTCCCTAATAAAAGAAGTAATTGCAGCAACACAGAAGAATCTCGAAAACACTATGCTGAGCAAAAAGAAACCTTACACATGAGGCTTCTTACTTGATATGATTCCATTAATATGACGTTCTTGAATAGGCAAAAATAATCTATGGTGGAAAAAAATCCGAACTGTGATTGCCTCAGGGGCAGGCTGGTTGGGGATTGCAGAAAAGAGGCATGAAGGAATCTTCTGAGGTGATGAGAATATTCTACGTGTTCACGAAGGGTTTGGCTATGCAGTTGTCAAAAATTAGCGAACTGTGCTGATTTGTGAATTTTACCATGTGTAAATTTTATCTCAACTGTAAGCAAAAATAAGCTTAAAAATACTGTATTCTAGTTAATGACATGCAAGTTGAAGTCTTTTGAGAGAAGTGTACTGCTGTCTGGAACTTACTTTGAAGAACGTAAAAATATGCTTCAATGTGCAGACGGATGAACGTGTGATAAGTCAAGAACAGTAAAATGTTTAGAATTTAGGTGATTGGCATGTGAGTGTTCACTGTGCAATGATTTCGACGGTTCTGGATGCCTTAACATTTTCATAATAAGCTGGTAGGAAAAAAAGGGAAATAATTGCTCTAGGCTGTTATTCATGTAGACTGAGTAGTAAGACATTTCCAGAGGCAGAATAGCCTTTGGATCAAGAAGAGGGACACAGCCTGCCTGTGTCCCCAGCCCCACCTCTTACTTGCTGTGGGTCCTGGGAAAGTCACTGGCCTCTGTCAACTTCAGTTTCCTCATCTGAACTGTGTCATAGTAATGCCCCCCCGCAGAGTTGCTGTGGGCATGGAATGCAAACCAACGTGCAAGAAACATCTGGCAAATGCGGAAATGCTAAGTTTTGTGGTTTCAGCACTTAAATACCTCATTGTTGTACACTTTGCTTTCTTTTATTTTCTTTTCTTTTTTTTTTCTTTTTTTTTTTTTTTAGAGACTTGAGTCTCACTTTGTTGCCCAGGCTAGAGTGAGTGCCGTGGCGTCAGCCTAGCTCACAGCAACCTCAAACTCCTGGGCTCAAGCGATCCTCCTGCCTCAGCCTCCGGAGTAGCTGGGACTACAGGCATGCGCCACCATGCCCGGCGATTTTTCTATATATATTAGTTGGCCAATTAATTTCTTTCTATTAGAGTAGAGATGGGGTCTCACTCTTGCTCAGGCTGGTTTCGAACTCCTGACCTGGAGCAATCCGCCCGCCTTGGCCTCCAAGAGTGCTAGGATTACAGGCGTGAGCCACTGCGCCCAGCCAGTTTCTTTTCTTTTCTTCCTTTTTTTTTTTTCTAAACCATGTTGGTACATACTTCCCCCTACCCCCAACCATCTTTCTGAGCAAATTTAAAGTTTCTAGAAGCAGTATTGCCGGAGGACAGGGTTTTCAGGTTCTGCCACTGATCTTCAAATCCCCCTTCCCCAGCCTCTTGCCCCTGCGGCCCACGTCTCTAAACCTTCCACCCTGTTGCAAAGGGCTCGGGTTTGGGGTTCGACACCCCGGCCTTTGGACGGGCAGCTGGGCGGATGTAAAACCCCGCAGCTTCAAGACACTCACCCGGGCGAAGCCGACTTCCCCGCGGACCAGCGACACGGAGTGGCTGTAGGCGCGCACGGTCACCAGGCCCACGTAGGAGACGCGGCGGCTGCTCCGGTGCTCGTTCTTGGCCTCCACGCTGAAGGCGGGCAGGTCGTACTCGCTGCACAGCTCGGCCATCGTGTACGTGCAGGTGCCCATCATGTCGTAGCGACGGCCGTCGAAGGTGGTGTAATGGGGGTCACCCTGGGCGCGGCAGACGCCGGCGGACTGCGCCACGCACTTGGGCTGCCCGCCCACCACCTGGCAGCGCTGCCCCGCTGGGCACTGCACGCAGCTGGGCTCCGCGGGGGACAGCCGGGCTGCAGAGGGAAGAGGCGGAGAAAAGAGACAGTCAGTGGCGTCCCGCAGGAGTAAGAATCCTGGAGCTCTCCCGCGTTGGGAAGCTCAGACGGTTCACTCACGACCGCCCATTTTAGAGGTGGGAAAACTGAGGTCTTGAGCCTTGCAGGGAGAGAGCTGCTCCTGCCTCTCCAAAAACTCCAGGTTTTCCGACTCAGTTTAACAAAGCTCAGCCCCAGAGAACTGCCGCAGAAATGTTAATTTGTGATTTTCTCCCACTTCCCCCTCTTCCCTACCTTCCCTCTGGTGAGAAGGCGGAGGGAGTATTGTGGGGACAGAAAATGGAAGACAGAGCCTGCTCCGCAGAACGGAAATGACTGTGGACTCTGGCTGCCTGGGTAGGAATCCCCACTCAACCAGTTAGCTCTGGGACACTGGGCAAGTTATTCTAAACCCTCTGTGCCTCAGTTTCCTCATTTGTAACAACACCTTTCTCATGGGGATTTGGAGGGTGTTGTCAGGTTTAAATAAGCTAAAACAAAAGTAAGATTTGGAACTCAATGGCAGGTATTAAATTGAGTGCTAATTGTTGTAATTAACCACTCCCCCCTCCCCCTTTCTACTATTCAAGTGGCCCCTTGAAGTTGGATGGCTTCCATGGCCTGGAGGGCGAGGAAGAGGGGCATTCTTGCCAGGATTGGGAACCCCAGTGTCTAGGCTACTAGCCTGGGGGAGACCACGGAGGAAGAAACAGCCTTCCCTCCCTCTGTTTCCCAATCTTCAACAATTCTTGCCCTCTGACCTCTCATAATGATAGCTCCCCCTGACATAGCCCTCATGGCTTCAGATACCACTAAGGGCTTTACAGTTGGTAACTCATTCCACCCTCAGTCCTGGGAGGGACGTGCAGTTACTATCCCCATTTTACAGATGTGGAAACTGAAGCCCAGAGAGGTAGAGTCACATGCCCAAGGTCACACAAGCAGGGCTGGGATTTGAACCCCAGGCACTCTGGCTCTAGCCTCTGTGTCCCTAGATACCACACGCCACTGCCTGGTGGCAGCTCCTCAATGGGCTGAGCCTGAGGTCACACATACCGCCAAGTCCTGTATAGTAACTATGTCAAAGCGTGAAGCACCTAGAAAGATCCATGGTACATTGAAGGCCACTCCCCCTCCAATATGACAGTCACCATTATCCTTGTAGTTTTAGACCTCCCGAGTGTGGGCATCAACATCCCTATAGGAGGTGCGGGGAGTGGCAGTTAGCAACTGGCACAGCTGTGCCAGTTGCTAAAATATCACAGTGTTTCCAAACCGATTGGTCAGAAGCTGGTGACCTGACACCACTCCCTGCACCAAAGATACCTCCCTCTTAACACCTTGGCTCTGCCCTGGGACCTGTCCCCAACGAACTAACAGACAAGGGCTGATCCGGCAAGGTGGGCTTCCAGGACCCTGCTGCGGTGCTCTGATTGGTGTCTCTTCTGATTGGTTGTGCCCTGGGTCACACTGGGTTGCTAAATATTTAGAGTCTTGTTCCTGGGGGGAGGGGCGGGGCTGGGGAGACTTAAGGGAGGAGGTCAGGGAGGAAGGAGTCCCGAGGGGTGGACAGCCCGGCTGAGCCAGGAAGCTGCAGAAGAGTAGGCAGGTGGAAAGGGGTCACCAGGTGGACAGGGCCGGTGGTCATTTCCCATCACTCACTCTGGCTACAATCGGCTGCTGTCCCACAGCCCACAGACTGGGCCAGCCCAAAGGTGAGGAGCCCAAAGTTGGTGGTGGCCTCGGCCGTGTGGATCCTGTCGGCAGTGCCAAGGTCAACTTCGGCGTACGAGAAGTCACTGCCCGGCACAGCCACCCAGGTGAGGTTGGCCCCTAGCGCGTGCCTGTCCACGGTCAATCTGTCGGCAGCCTTCGTCTGTGCCACCAGCAGGGCCACCCCCTCAGAGCCTGGCATGCTCTTGACCACGTAGGCAGGGCAGTAGGCTGCCACATCCGGGACCACGGCCAGGTAGGGGCCGTAGGTCACTCCGTTCCTTACGGCCCCCGTGCCGAACAGCAGGACCTGGATGCCCACATCTGCGGACAGGTAGAGTGGCCGGGACGGCCGCACCTCAAACGTTGCCACGTCACCCATCTGGAGCCCTCGGGAGCCGGTGGTGCCCCCGTGGTTGTAGGTCAGCTTTGTGGCCTGGCTGGCCACGACATAGACCAGGTCATAGCGGGTCTGGGAGGCCAGGGTGGGCACGACGTAGAGGGTGCCCCAGGCGGGCGTGGGTAGCAGCTGCTCCACCACGTGGTTGCAGTCCGTGTGTTTCTGGACGCAGCTGTGGCCGGAGAGGACAGCCACGGGGCTACTGGCTGTGACCTTTGACCCCGAGAGATCAGCTGTGCTTTGCAGCTGGGCCACGTCGTAGGGCCGAAGAGTCACCCTCAGAACATTGCCTGCTGGGTAGAACTTGCCCTGGAACGTCACGCCTCCCTTCAGCTCGAGACTGACGGAGGCGCCTGCTGCGCCGGCCACCACGGCAAACTCCTTGACATACTTGGTCGAGGCGCCAGCGGGCGTGAGCACGAAGTACTCGGTGCCCAGCGTGCGGGCAGGCCGCAGCAGGGTCAGCTCCGACGTTTTCGGCTTGGCATTCGCCGCCTGCACGGAGATGCTGCGGTCAGAGCGGACCACCACCGCACGCTGGAAGATAGCGCTGCCATCCATTTCAGCCTTGGCGCTGACGCTGACCGCGACTGACTCCCCGGGCCTCACTGTGACCCTCTGTGAGCTGTTGTCGGCCCGGCTGAAGATGGACACTGAGGCTGGGCTTTCCGACAGACTGGCGATGAGGAGGCGGAGGGAGGCCGGGCCGGAGCCAGGCTGGTGGTTCTGCAGGAAGGCCGTGAGGAATTCCTCACCGTTCCCGGGGTCCACTGAGGCCTCCTGGGTCAACCCTGGGTCGAGAAAACCCACTCGTGTGTCCGTTTATCCAGTCCTCCCCACCAGAGAAGCCACCTCTTGCCCGACGCCCAGAAACATTGAAATATCAACTCGAGCTATTTTTTCCCCCTCTCCTCTTTCCTTCCTTCTGATTCAGACAGCATCCACCTACGAGCCTTTGTGGCCTTTTGTTTTCCAGAAAAGCCTGGACACTTTGGACAGGGCTCTCAAACTCAGACACCGAGGGGGCCAGGCGAGTGACAGAAATGTGTGAAACGGTCCAGGTGCCAACTGTGCCAACTGGAGCCCTCCTATGCCACCTAAAAGGGGTGGTTGCTACAGCTTTCACCCCTTATTATAAGAGACTATGGGCTTTTTTTTTTTTTTTTTAATACCAGATCTTCCTGTTTTTTAAGAGAAACTGACAATCGGCGTTGTCATGTGAAATCTCCAACCCCAAATTATGTTAAGCGTTGTGGAGCCCAAGCTGGCTGGACTCAGTTGCCAAGGGTGTGATTTCTGTCCTAATAGGACTTGGGGTAAATAGGGAAAAGGGGGCGAAGGAAAGCAGGGGATTATGGGAGTGTGGACCAAATGTCTCCCAGAAATAGAGGGGCACAGGGCTTCTCAACATTCCAACTCGGAAACGATTCCGCAGGGCTGAGAAGAGAGGGGGGAGTCTAAGGAGACTCGAAGAGAGTGTGGGGTTATGGGGCAACCACCTGCCAAGGGAGGGGAGCCTGGAAGGTGGCCCAGGGGACCAAGGGATCTGGGACAATGGACATTTCAAAAGTAACCTAGAGGAACATTGACTGGTGACCAGAGGACACCGATACCCCATCTTTCCCCCAGCATTTTGGCTTTATCTAAGACTCTAGCCCTGGACATATCCCCGGGACATAACCCTCCAAGAATGACTTGAGTGACATTTCCCATCACATCAACAGAAGGAGGCTCAGTGCCAGAACCTCAGTGGAGTTGCAGAAGACCAAGAAAGTAGTAGTTCTTGCACGCTGGAGTCTGGGGACTAAGGTTTTTCCCACCTTCCCTCCAGAAAAGAGTGAGAAGGGGTGAATTCCACCACATTTCTCTGCAGAAGCGAACAGCCTCTTCAGCCAGCCTGGGGTGACATCGGAAGTGGGATTGTGGAGAGGACACAAACGGAAGGTGCCGGGGAAGGTGGCGACCCAGGCAGAGTTCCCCAGATTGGAACAAGGACATGAAGGGGGTCTCGGTCCGACTTACCCCACAGGAGGGCTGCTCCGGCCCACAGCGCCCACCAGCTCCATGGGGAACCCATACCTGCAGGAAAAAGAGGGGGTCATTGGAGGCTGGTCTGCACCTGCTGCTAGAGACCTTCTGGGAGGGGACAGAAGGGCCCAGCCTCAGGACAGAGGCCACCTGGGCACCAGGAGGGCTGCGGTGGGGAGGGAAGTCAGGCAGATGGGACGGCGCGGGCTGGATCCAGGGGCCAGCGTGCGCGTGCAGGACAGGCTGGCTGTCCCGTGGGCCTGGGAGTGGGGGAGGGGAGGCAGGAGCTGGGGACAGGGGGAGGGAGCTGGATGTCCAGTGGGTTTGGGAATAGGACGAGGAGGCCTGGAGCCAAGGAAAAGAGTAAGAAACCCACTGTCCCACTTCCAAAGGGGACCCCAGCCCTTCCCACCTGCAGGTTCCCAGAGCTGCAGGGTCAGCTCTCGGGCTGGGCTATATAGCGGAGTCTCTTGGCCCCTTGGAACACGCCCTGGGCCATATGCCAAGCAGATGGTGCCAACTTCCCGGAGGAGCCGCTGATCTCAGGGCCAGGTGGAGTGGGGAGCCCTGGAGGCCTGGGAAGGGGGGAGGGTGAGTCTCAACGCCTGAGTCCTGACAAGGGTGCGAGGACAGCTGGTGGCTGCACCCAGGGAGCCTACTGGGAAACTGGGGCCTGGAAGGGTGGTGTCCCTAAGGGAGACAGCTGGGGAGCAGGGTGCTGAGAGCCTGGGTTCCCGGGCGGGGCTGCAGTAGGGGAGTGGGGAGCGAGGGCGTGAGGTGTCACTTGTTTGCTGGCTCACTGGACAGATCCATTTCTTTGGCTCTTGCCAGGAACAACAGTGAGGGACCCATATCCGGGTCCTGGCTCCTCCCCGGTCCCCACGAGCCAACCCCGGGCCCCCCACTACCCACGTCCTGTTTCCAGGCAACACTGAGGCCCAGGTGTCTGGGATGGGCAGGGGTCTGAGACCCATGGAGTGGGACGCAAGACCTCTACTCCCCATCCAACAGGGTCCCCATCTATGTGGTGGGGACATTGAAACTAGCCCTACTGGGCTTTTTATCTCCTGAAGGGCGCTGTGTACATTTTCAAGAACCAGAGGTGGGAGAGAGGCCCTTCTGTGTGGTCCCAGGCGGGGACAGGGGAGCAGGGTGGTCACCAGCGCGGAGGCTGTGTGTGAAGGGCGAGGCCTCCATTTCCTGGTTCCGTGCTGATTCCACTTCCTGAAAAATTATTTGGTTTGAGGTTTTCTTTTTTGTTGTTTCTGTTTTTGCCCCAGAAGGGACTGGCTGAACAGGTTTGGGGTGACTCTGTGCCTCTCCGTCACCCCGGAATTTGCCTGAGATGGGAGATGGGAGTCTAGGTCGCACATGGGGAGCAGAAGAAAGAGCTGGAAGGTGCCCCGGCCTCCCTGAGATGGAGTCAGCTCCTCCCTAGGGGCTGGCCTGACCCATGGCCCGCTCCCCTCCCCCCTACCTTGGGGACTCATTGTTTGCTAGGGTGTCTCCCCTGAAAACAGCAGCTGCAAGGCCTGGGTGTCCTCTCGGACAACACCCCGGCAGCTGCCGCCTCCAGGACGCCTCCCGTCTTATCACCAGGCCTGGCTGGGTGGCGCCCAGGCTTGGGTGGCGGCCCCTCTCTCCCTGGGGCTCAGACCACCCAAGGCAGCTCTCCAGAGGGAAAGATAAAGGCTCAGAGTTGACTGGGGCATAAAGTCAACCAGGAAAACCAAGTGTGTAAACAGGAGCCAGGATAAAAGCCAGAGATAACAAGAAACAAGCAGGGGTGGGAGCTTTGGGGGAGGGATGCCTGGGTCCCTGAGGGGTCACAGGGTCGGTGGCGGGGGCTGTCGGGCCCCTGAGAGAAATAAGGACCGGGAGGACGGGAAGCTACCATTCCTGAGGAGGAAACAGCAGTTGCAAACCAAGATGTCAGAACGCTGTGCGCGACACTACTCTTGTCGTCTGGGATGCTCAGAGAAATGAGGGGTGAGGGGCAAAGAATGAGGGTGCCTTTCGGGAGTGATCCTGGGCCTTAGTCCCCTCTAAGTCTTCCCCAGAGAAAAGCTTCTCTCCTTCAAAATCCACGGATGCTCTCTGCAGCCGAGTCTCCAGAAATGGAGTGGCGGTGGGGACGCTCACAAATTAATACTCTCATGTTTGACGACCCCCTGGGACCTTCTTTCTCACTTCTTCCAGGGCTCAAGGTGTGTTTGTGGGCATATGTGTGTGTTATGACACACCCTGCGCCCTACCCCAGACCATATCGATTCTCAGGAACCCCACCGGTGGCCCCGGAACTAACCTCTGGGGCCACTTCCTTATGGTCAGAGAAACCACATCCATGCCTGGCTGGCAGCCTCGCTCTGAGCCCAGACAAGTGTGTCCGGGCCTTTCTGCCTCTCCCTGCGGCATCTGCACTGGTCACGCCACTCCAGACCCCTGGCGTCCTCTGGCCTGCCTGGGCTTCGTAGACCTGGGCACAGCTGGAGAGAATTTATTAATACTCTCTGCAGCTGAATTCAGATTTGTTGGCAATTTCTAACTTCATTCCCTCAGGCTGTGGATCCCACAATCTGACTTCCATATATGCACTGAAACTGTTTTGCTAAACTCTCCCAGGACCTATTATTTAGTTCTAGCTCCTTTGCTCCTTTTCTGTAACACTTCCTCTTTGAAATTATTGGATGCCTTGGCTTCCATAATACCACCTTCTTCTGGATGTTGTGCGACTTTGGTCTGTTTTCTAGGATAACTCCTTTAACATGGGTGGTTCTCACTCTCCCCCTCTGCTTTCTCTGATCACCTCTTTTTCTCCAAGAGATCTCATCCGTGCCCACCTGTGCTGTCTAATATAACTTTTGTATGATGACGAAACTTTTCTACCTTTGCAATGTCCAGTGTGGTAAGCGACAGCTACCTGTGGCTCTTGAACACTTGAAACGGGACTAATGTGATGGATCAACTGGATTTTTAATTAAATTGAATTTAAATTTAAATGCCTGTCTGTACATAGTGTCCATGTTAGCACAAAATTCTACCACAGACCCCATTCTTTCATCTATTAATGTTTATCTAGTTGCCTGTATATCCATCCACCCACCTGCCTACCTATTTATTTTCTTTTATACTCATTTTCCATGCCTATTGCCTCCTTATGGGGAACCATTCTGGTGTGATTCATTCATAGGAATATTTTTAAAACATTTTATGAAATAAAATACACATGTGAATAAGTACACAAATCATAAAATAAATCAAGTACATAAACCATAATGTATACAGCTCATTATATTAACATTATCTCAAAATGAACACATCCTTATAACCTTCACCTAGGTCAAATCTATAAAGAGAACATTCCAGCATCCTAAGCCCTTTTCACACTCCCTCCTGATCACACAAAATGATATTGTGTTTTAAATTTCGAATTGTACACTTTCATTGTTAGTGTATAGAAATGAATTTGATTTTTGTGTGTTGGTCTTGTATTTTGCAACCTTACCCTGAATTCACTGATTTGTTCTAGCACTTTTTTTGTTTTTTGGTAGATTCCTTGGGATTTTCTATGTAGATATTCATGTCATCTGAATATAGTCAGTTTTATTCCTTTCCAATCAGTATGCTTTTTATATCTTGGTCTTGCCTTATTGAGCTGGCTAGAACTTCCAGTACAATATTGAATAAGGGTGGTGAAAGTTAACATTGTTTCCTTGTTCCTGATTGGGAAAACACTCAGTCTTTCATCAATAAGTATGATATTAGCTGTAGTTTTTTGGTAGATGTTGTTTTACCAGGTTGAGGCAGTTCCCATCTATTTCTAGTTTGCTGAGAGTTTTTTTATCATAAAAATGGATGTTGGATATTGCCAAATGCTTCTCTTTGTCAAATTAAAATGATCATATGATTTTTCTTCTGTATCTTGTTGACATGCTAGATTATACTTTTTATTTTTGAATATTGACCCAGCCTTGCATACCTGGAATAAATTCTACTTGGTTGTGGTATATAATTATTTTTACACATTGCTGGATTGGATTTGCTAATATTTTTGAGGATTTTTGAATTTATGTTCATGAGAGACATTGTCTAGTTTTCTTTCTCCTCATCCTACCTTTCCTCCTCTTTCTTCTTAATGTCTTTGGTTTTGGTGCCAAGGTAACATTGGACTCATAAAATGAGTTGGAGGGTGTTTCGTCTTCTGTTTTCTGAAAGCAATTGCAAGAAATTAGTGCTAATTCTTCTTTATATGTTTGGTAGAATTCTCTGGTAAGACTATCGGGCCGGAGATTTTTTTCCTAGAGCTTTTTTTTTTTTTTTTTTTTTTTTTTTTGAGACAGAGTCTTGCTTTGTTGCCCAGGCTAAAGTGAATGCCGTTGAGTCAGCCGAGCTCACAGCAACCCCAGTCTCCTGGGCTCAAGTGATCCTCCTGCCTCAGCCTCCCGAGTAGCTAGGACTACAGGCATGCGCCACCATGCCCGGCTAATTTTTTCTATATATATTAGTTGGCCAATTAATTTCTTTCTATTTTTAGTAGAGACGGGGTCTCACTCTTGCTCATGCTGGTTTCGAACTCCTGACCTCGAGCAAACCACCCGCCTCAGCCTCCCAGAGTGCTAGGATTACAGGAGTGAGCCACCACGCCCAGCCTCCTAGAGCTTTTTAATTACAAGTTCAATTTCTATAAAGACTATGCAGATTACCTATTTTATATTGATTGAGTTTCTATAGTTTGTGGATTTTGATGAGTTGATCTGTTCCATCTAAGCTATCGAATTTGTGAGCATAGAGTTGTCCATAGTATTCCCTTATTACCACTTTAATGGCTGAGGGTCTTCTATATAGCATCTTTCATTCTTGATATTGGTGATTTGTGCTTTCTCTCTTTTAATCTTCGTCAGTCTTTCTAGATGTTCATTAATTTTGTTGATCATGTCAAAGAACCAGGGTGTTTTTTTGTTTGTTTTATTGATTTTTCTCTATTATGTTTCTCTTGTTCGATTTTATTAATCTCTGCTTTTATCTTTATTATTTCTTTTCTTCTGATTGATTTGTGTTTATTTTGGTCTTCTT